TGCTTTGGTGTCGGAATCGTGGCTATTCGTGGTGCGTTTTGAAAGTATTAATGAATATTATGCCGAGGTTGCGAAAGTTTGGTGGTGAGTTTGTAAAGGGAGACGTGAGTTATAGTAGCATATATTTATTGATACTTTAATCGTGAAGCTGAGAGGGCCATCCACAACTGATCTTGTAGGTTTCTTCCTGCTTAGTATTCTTGCTTTTTGCCCATTCCCTTCAGTCATGACTGCTAACATCGCTCCTTTTCTTCAGCTGGCTTCCATACGACGATGATGTTCCTTACATCCCATTGTATGACGTGTTTATGCAGTATGTTGTGCTGCGCTGTGGCAGAACCCTACTCTAATCTAAATCTGTTGAGACACGCAATGTGTTCACTGGTTCGGTTTCTAACGGTGCTTTCTGTGTTGCTTTAGTTGTACTTCCAGAGTACTTCATTGTAACTTTTCTACATTGAATTTAATTTCTAACATTGAATTTAATGAATCAATGATTAATGGTTATTGAAATACTGATATTTAACGGTTTACGGATATTTTCGTATGAAATCAGAATATAATTTTTAGCTTGTATAAAATGTGCTGGTTTTAATTAGGTTAATTTTTTGTACCCTTTTTTGACAATTCGATTCGAATTCTCTACTCAGTGTAGTTCTAAGCCAGTCTTTAGTATATACTATATTTTGTGTTGAAGAAGGAACGCTGTCCCTGGATTCTGAATGCTTCACCTCTTAAAGTGTTTTATTCAAGGTTTCTAACGATGTCTTACCTCAATTTATTATCATAAGAACCTGTATATGTCTTTTCAAGGTGTTTTGCCTAATTTATTTTACCAACTTTTTTCAAGGAATAACCAATAGTGTTTTTAAATTAAATGATATATCTTTTGATTAAGCGATGCGTCTTCATAATTTGAATAAACAAGTAAAGTTCTGATTGTTTTTACATTTAGAAAATGAATCAGATGACGGACGATGATCTTCGAAAAGAGTTGCGTCGACTAGGAGTGAATTTCGGTCCCATAACGGATACAACGCGTTCCTTCTATTATAACAAGATAGCAAAGCTCAAGGAAAACCAGAATACACCAACGACGAATAAACCGGAACCCCCGCGAAGGACCACTCGTGGAACAGCGGTTAAATCATATTCGAAAACAATTCCAAGTGAACAGTACAGCGATGAAGATTTGTTCGGAAGGCGGAGTACCGAAGGAGACAGTTTCGATGAATCACCTGATCTTGGTAGGCCTTCGGCTGTTATTCCCGGAGAAGCAAATATCCACAGTGCATCATCTTCGCCGCCTTCACAGGACAGACGCGGCAAGTCATTGAGATTGTCCGACGACACGTTCCCCGACGTTGTACCCGGAGTAGCGAATCTTCTGAACTCTGGATCTGCTACCTTTCGTACGTCACATGACATGGCGAAACCATTAGTCGTTAACGAACGCGTCGCTGATACTCGTAGCACGTCGTCCAAGCTGTGGTCCAGCTCTGACCAGTCGACCACCGACGGCTTTATGCCGAAGGCTTTTGGTATCGGTTCGCAAACGAAACCCTCGGTTTTGAACTCCACGAATATCCGAGATTCCATTGCCACGGATTCCTTGCCCTATTCTGTCAAAACTGATGACCTCGTTCGACGAAGGTTGCATACTGATAGCAGCAGCTCTTACGGTATCGGTTCCGGGGGCTACGGCTTTGGTAAATCAGCTGCCTCTCGACCTAAAACTGTCACGCAGAACAAACCTGCGGGTTTCGGAATAGGGAGTGATAGAAAAGGTTTAGTTTCGGCACTTCCGTCAAGTCTGGCTCCTGACTATAAGTTTGACACCCCGTATTCGCGGCGGACAATTGGTGGCGAGCCTGATAAAAGTCTCTTTTATCATTATAACGGAGTGGCAGAGCCGTTTTACGACAGTAATGCATCGAAGCGGCGTCCAGTTCTGTCGTCAGTAGCCCGGGGCCTCGTCTCTCGCCGACCAGTGGGCTCCTTCCAGTCAACGGCGATGGCCTGGTGGCGCCAGAGCTGGGTGCAGAACATAAAGTTTTCCAAGTATTTTTCAGAGCATACTCCCAGACATGTCATTATGCTGCTGTCTGTTTTCTTTGCTTTGCTCACCATCGCTTATTTCATTGTTGTTCATACCGGCAAGCTGAAAATCGGAGCTAGAATTGTCGAAGGTAAAGTTTTGTTTTTTTTGAAAACTGTTTTTTCGTGTTACATATGAAAAACGTTAAATCATTTCGAGGTGCTTAAGCATTTGGGTGATAATCGGTTATAAGAGTAATTTCTCTCACTCACTGAAGGACAGAGATGGTGGAGGTTAATGGTTTTTACTTCTTGGATGGAGTCGCTGATGTACCCCACGTTTCTGCCGCAAAAATAAATTAGACAAAGATAATGCTGAACTAATAAAAGCTACTAAAAACAAAGTAAAAATCGCAATGCGGAGACCTGACTGGAACTGATTGCACAATTATTACAGTAAGTGAACATAAAAATGTACTAGAGAACAATGTTGCTGTTTTTTGCATCATCAAATGATGTTGATTAACCGTGTCTCTCTCTCTCTCTGAAGATTCACACTGAGATTGGAATAATGGACTTCATGTAGAATCCATGACGCTGTCGTGGAATGAGTGATTACAGTTACTCAGCATGTTGTAACTGCTAATTCACCCACATAAAGCCACTAGTTTAATGGAACACCACTCTGCTAGTGAGTACTGTAACGAGTGCCAAAGGAATCTTCTAGACAGAAGTCTTCTGATTCTATAGTTCGCAGTACGGTGAAGATTCAGAGTCGAGCGTCCTTATGAAAAATTTGACGTTTTGGACAACGGTATGGTTTGAACATACGCATTCAGTATATGCTCTGGTGCTTAGTGCTCGTTAACTGAGACGTCGGCATCTCAGTAAAGTATTTTAGCACTGAATTTTCTTTGGTACCCCAAACATTTAACCATAACGCTAATTCTGTCTGGATGACCTTCGAATTCATTGACACGAATTTCTGAACATAATTCCCATAAATGCTGAAAAATGAGAAAGAGGTCATCAAGCAGTGACAGGGTTCCTCTCGTCTTTGAGACAAACCTTTTAAAAGAAGAATGCTTTGACTCAGGCTTCATTCGTAGCATGATATATGTGGTATGTCCTTCCCTTGGTAGTAGATGACACTTACTGTTATAAACGTACGTATAAAGTTGGTCTCTGCTAACGTGTAACCATATGGTGCTAGCGAACGATACGAGCATGTTGCCTTTAACCTATTTCTTATTTGCAAAAATGATTTACCTGAAAGACAGACTCTTTTTAGCAATCCTCATAGCAGGCGTCCTAACGGCAGAGAGAGAGGGAGCGAGACGATGAAAAGGAGATTCGAGCACAGTGATTGTTTGACATTTTTATGCCTTAGAATCCAGTGAGGGAGGGTACATCGGATCTTTGCTAATGGAAGATTATGTGAATGCAGTTGAAATCAGCCGTATATAAGACCGGAAACTCGTTAAGATGCGTAAATCAGTTCTGCATCAGTACCTAGACTTTCTATGATACCGCGATTAAAAATTGGTTTAATTAAATATCTGTTGATTTACTTTGTAATATAATGTGTTGATGGTTTAATGTTATTAGCTGATTTTGCGTCTGTATGTTTACAGTAAGATAGAGTTTGATTTTAGGAGCTCTGGCGGACACTGTTTCTTTCGTTTACGGGCAGATGATTTTGCCGCTGCTCATCATTGCTGCCGTCGCGGCCGTAGTCGGTTTGCTGTACCTCTTCAGAAAATACCAGCTTGAACGACAGCAGATGGAATGCAAGAAGATATTTGCTTTGGTGGAGAAGATAATTGGTGAGTAGTATTAATGTGGTAATATGGCGATTAGCATGATAATATCTGCTGTATAACTTCAACTTGAATTCCGTTTTAACGTCACCTGTGATGAACAAGGCTTTGAGGCATTAGTCAACAAAATCATCTGCGTTCAGATCGATCGAGTCTTGATCTCAATCTTGCATAACCTTGCAAAACTTTTAGATACCTTGCATGACCCAGGGTATCTGAAAACAAGAGAGTAGTGTCTTTGCATCGTCTAACGTTTTTTTTGGCCTATCTGTGCTTTTAGTAGCCTTTCGCTTTTCTTTTCTCTATTTTTAGTGACAGCAGTTTGATACACATTATTCCATCATCTTATGCTTGATCCAACGTAAGCTTCCCGAAACGATGCAGCTAGGTCAAAAACTGGTATAAAGCAAGAATGGGAAAGGGAGGTGTTAGTTTTCTATTTGCCACAGAGTTACATTGTTTTTAAAATTCATGTTTATCACGGGTTCACAGTCTCAGCCGACTGCACGGTAGATTGGTCCGTAAAGAATCAGACTTCCGAGCGAGAGACATGAGTTCAGATTTCAACCGGTTCATTCGTCTTTCACCCTTCTCTGAGTGGTAAATTGGTTCTACCGCGCGGAATGGAAATAGGGCCTCCTAGTTGTTGTCATTCAGATTATACAAGGACGCGATTATATACAAAGTCCTGACATTGTCACACCTTAGAAATCAGTTTGGGGAACTTACTGGTAACGTGTGAATTTCAGCAGGAAGACATCACTGAACCAGCTTCCCAGTGATCCGGAGGCAACTGAAAAAGAAAAGGAAGCGTTGATACATCTTAAAGTAGACTCGCTTCGCATCGTAGGCTTCATGAGCATGTTATGAATTATTGAAATGCGATTATGACCAACACGTAGCTACATGTTTTTCGTTCTTTTTCATCCAAGATTTTCAAATGGAGCTGAACGAAGATGCTGTCAAAGCCATTTTCATATAATCTCTAAATGCAAAGAAACAGACACGTATCTGGCGTGAATTTTGTTAGATACATAAGTAATACTTTTTTGACCATCACCCCTCCGCTATGTAACTAAAGCTGCATGTTTGTGCTTATTCATAATAACTTAATCCACAGAAACGGTGCGTGAAAGACACGAAGAGAGTGAGCTGAACAAGAACATAGTGCCATACATTGCCATCCCAAGAGTGCGCGATATGCTTATTTCTCCGTACAACAGGTTTGGGAATTATTGTTTCATTCGCGCACGGTTGAGGCTGATTGGCTTGTTGTTTTCAGGCTCGAATTGATGCCAGTCTGGGAGAAGGCCGTACGATACTTGAACGAAAACGAGTCACGTGTTCGAGCAGAAGTACACTCGATCAATGGCGAAGAGGTGATGGTGTGGCGATGGTTGCAGGTACTTACAGATTGTTGCGTCGTTCCGTAGCTTCGGCTCATTGTCAAAATTGTTTCGCTTTTGTTTAGACCGGTGACGACAAAATTTGGCAAGGACATGGTATTTCGTAGCTTAAATGTAAATTTCGAAATTCTGCTTTCATAATGTCATTGTTTCAGCATTTCCAGAAGATCAGAAGGCGTTAAATCTGCCGATACTTCCCTATTTCGAATGCTTGAAGCTCAGAGGATTGTTCGAACCCGAACTGTAAGCACACGTTCTTTTTTCCATTTCACAAACTAATGGAACTTCTGCATACAGTGAGTCAGAAGATGACTGGTCAGAACACATCAGGGATGCTATACTCGAGAAACTCGGTGACTCGATCCATGTTGTTCACCTGTTTGTCGATGGCAATTCTAAAGAGGTCAGTCAGATGCCAATTTGCGTCTGATTTCTGCTTCAGTTGTAATTTCTGTTAACTATTTTCAGGGTTGTGTCTATCTGAGACTGAGGACACGAGAAGAAGCTGGGGAAGCGTATAAAAGACTGCATGGTTATTGGTTCAACGGTAAGCCAAGCATGGCCGTACAGTTAATATTCACCTGATTTCTTTTCTTTTCTCTGAATTACTCTCTGCCTTTATCTTCTGCTCTTCTTCGCCTTCGTTTTTATTTCAATCTCTTTTATTCTCTTCTGTTTCTTCTCTTCTTTTCTGTCCTTTTCTTTCACCTCCGTTCTCTCTTTCCTCTTCTATTCTGCCTTTATCTTCTTTTATTTCTTTCCTTGTTCTTTGCGTTTATTCTGTTTTATGTTCTGTGCTTGTCTTTTCTTCTCTATTGTTATTTCAACCTTTTTCCGTTCTTCCCATTTCTTCAGTTCTTTTTTTATATATCCCATACTCGTCTCTTCTGTTATTTTTTGAAATGAAGGGTTTTGATGTGCGCTGTTTGACGTTTACTGATGGTTGCTGTCATCGCGGGTTACTGCGGTCGCTGCTTTGAATCCGTTTAATTGCATGATAGTCATCTGCATCCTATTATATTGTTTAATAATGGGAAGTTGCCAGTGAGTGAGGTACATCGCAGTTTTCATCTTCATCTTAATGTGAATCTGTCATTACGATTCCATTTTGGTTACTGTGGAAAATCATTAGGTCTGCCCATAGTCCTGTGGTAGCGAGTCTGAATATATATAATTTGCAGATCGTCATCTGTATTAATTACTCGACTTCAACCCTTATGTTACTTGATTTTTAATGGAAAGCTCTCTGCGAGCACAATGCAATGCGATTATCAAGCCTGTGAATGTAGTAATTTAATCAAGAGTATGAATTTATGTATTTCAAAGGTTGTTATTTGTATCAGTTACTTGATTTTATCTCTAGCATTATCATTTTTTGAAATCTTTCAGTAGGAAGTTTTAGTTGCACTGCTCAGTTCAAAAGCCGGCAGTTTTCAAATCAGCGATGGTTCCCTTTTCATCTGAACATAGTACACAACTTTTGGGTGGTGAATTTTTGTCTTCAATTTTGTTTTAGTGATTCCATTTTGTTTATTATACAGTACTATTAAACGAATGCACAACCGTATAATTGCAAATTTAATTCTATCGTTAAATTTAAAAATAAGCCATATCAACAAATTTAACTTTTATGAGACAAACTGAATGCTAGTATCCGTTTTATGTTAACATTTCGGTACAGTAAAATTAATAGATGAAGATTTAAGTAAAACAGAAGAATTGCGCGCTTAATTCCGTATACAAATTTGCTATTGTAACAAAATTAGTTTATTACGCGCAAAGAAACTCCGCTGTTGCCGATCCCATGCTCAGTTGAGAAACGAAGGGAGGGCTTGGACCATGTTAAAGTCTCTGTCAAACTTAGTCATCTGCCCCTCATGGTAATCACCTTGTCGAAAATTATTCCTGCGCGGTCGTCGCTCGGATTACCAACGACCGCACAGCCTGTTGGGGGACTGAGGCAGGCTGCGCAAAGTCGTCGATTACAACCTACACATCGCCCTCTTCCACCAGGAGGCGTAACAGCACAGCAACGGCTGATGAAGACCGTTGGAACGACCACGAACAACGGAGTCGCTACTCGTTCTGAACGGACGAGGCAGACAGCGCGATGTCATTTAAGCATGTCAGAAAAGGTTGCACGAGAACTACACCGCCAGTTGGACCTTACAGTCGAAAATCAAAATGTATCGTCACTCAGAGAGAAAGAATCAGCGTTTGTTGACATGGCCATTAGGTACATACTGGATATAATTGGACTTTTGCCAACGAAGTGCCAGGGCTCTGGAACCCTGAACCTCTGCGGGTTGAAGCTATTCTATTCAGGCGTCTATATCATGTCTGGAGCTTAGGCACGTGTTGGTGTTCTGGCAGAACCAAACATCGCCGGTAGGACTATTGAATGGAAGCCTGTCAGCGGAACGGTGGTAATCCTCCGACTGAAGCTACAACAGGCTAAAGCGTTGACCAGGGCACGGGTCTATGA